CACTTTATGTATGTTATCTCATTAGTTCTCACAAGAACCCTGAGAGGTCAGTGCTACAATTTCCCCTATTTTGCAGACGAAGAAACTGAATCTCATCGAGATTAAGGGATTTGCCTTTGGTCATATAGTTAAAAAACAAGGTTTAAGTGACTTGCCCAGGGTCACACAGCTAGCAAATGTCTGAGGCTGGACTTGAACCTAGGTATTCCTGACTCCAAGTTCATCATTTCATTCATTACACCACCTAAGCAGAGCAGAGGATAGCGTGCTGGGCTGGAGGCAGGAAAACCTGAATTCAAGTCAAGTCTTAGACACCTGCTAGCTGTGTGACTTCGGGCAAGTCACTTAAACCTGTCTGCCTCAGTTCCTCGTCTGTAAAAGGAGGCAGAGAAAGAAATGGCAAACCACTCTGGTATCTTTGCCAAGAAAATTCCAAATGGGGTCATGAAGATTTGGATATGACTGAAACAGGTGAACTACCTAACTGCTTGCTAAAAAGAAAGCCTCTCAAATTTAATCTTTACATGTCCCAAATGACTGAAATTCCTGAATGAATATTCTCAAGATTTTGGTTTTACTTTTCGGCTTAAAACTATTAATCCCCTCAAAGGTACCTGCAGTGTGAGCCGCCATATAAATGAAAATTTGTTCCTGCCTCTCCCCTTCCTAGGCTTAGATAAAGACTTCAAATCTTTATCAGACAACAAAGGATTTTTTTTTGGGTGGGGAGCATCCAGGGCTGGCATACTGGACATATCTACAAATTTTCATATCAGGCAAGCTCTCAGTCTAGAATAACATGACAATCAAAACCAGGAGGTCAATGAGCTTGGCTCAGTTCCTTAATGAATAATCCCTACTCTTTAAAATATTTTTCCCTTTTCATCACTAGGAAAAATTCTGAGGCATTGGTCAATGTTTTAATGTAAGTGCTTCTCATAAGAACTCTGGCTCCCTAGCAAAATAGCAGGAAATTATACATACTTATTTGGAAGTAAACCCTCTATCTATTGTCTGAGCCAGAAAAAATCACAGGCTGAAAAGATATCCCCAAACTCTACGAATACTCATGTCGGTTTCTGTTTGAGATCTGTAACCTTTAAGACCTCCTGCAGGCTACATCTGCCATCCTGCACAGGAAATGACTCCCCAGGAAGGCTCCGTTTTCAAGAGTCATGGAAAGAGACTGGAAAGCAGCCAGAGTGGACATACTTCCAGCCTTTCTATTTCATCCCTACAGCTATTTTCTCAGGTGCCTGCAGCCCCTTGAAGCCTTCAAGGGCAAAGTGGCAATATGAGTGGGGGCGAGGAAATGAACTGAAAAAAGTATTCTGGAAAAAAACAGTTTTCTAAAAGACCAGTCACTGTTCACTTGCAATTCAGTGTCAAAAAGTTCAAAGCCTTCTAATGCAAAGAGGCCGAGCTCTGGGATGAGAGCATGTGTGTGATCTGCTGGATGCTGGCCAGGCGTGCCTCTGGTTTCCCTTCTCCTCTCTACTGTTCTTTCATGTTCAGTCTCTTTCTCTCCCCCACTCCTCCTTCTAGTCCATTCTTCCACAAACATGCTCATTACTCCACCCTAACACAGAGCTCTCCTCTGACTCCCATCACCTTTCTCTTCCTTGGTGGATGTTTCAAAAGAACATCCTGTCACCAGCCTTAAAGCTGAAAGGGCCCTTAGAGATCTCGTTTCCTAACTCCAAGAAGGTGAGTCAGCTGTTCAGCTTCATCGAGATAAAGGGGCAGAGCTAGGATTGGAAAGCAGGTCTGCCCCACCTCCTCTTCTCTTCATCTCCTCTGAAATGACTACGTCCCTAGGGATTCACCTCCCACAATTGGTCAGCCTTTGGCATGTAACTTCACTTGTTATCCTCATTGTCTTTCCACTGAGTTTGCCATGGGTGGCTATCTCTTCTGATGTTCTCTCCTTCCTCGGTTTCTGCCTTTCTGGTGCCCACCACTTTTTCTCATTGTTTGTCCCCCCCCCCCCCACCACACACGCCTTCTAAGTGGTTCTCCCAGCCTCCAGCCTCTCTGTCTTCTCCCATATTCTGCCTTGGTGGTCTCATCCACACTTCTTATATTTCTCTTTGATCTTGACCCTACTATGTTCTAGGCGGGCAGCTAGGTGCCACAGTGGATAGGGCACTAGTCACAAAGGCCTGCGTCAACTCTGGCCTCAGACACTTACTGGTTGTGTGACCCTGGGCAAATCACTGAACCTCTGTCTGCCTCAGTTTCCTCAACTATAAAATGGGAATAATAACAGCACCCACATCCTAGGCTTGTTGTGAGGTTCAGATATCTATAAAGAACTCTGCAAACCTTAAAGCCCTCTATAAATGCTAGTGATGGTGGTGATGACGATGACAATGACAACATGAGATGCTGGGGGATGCAAAGACAAAAACAGTTCATGTCCTCAAGCACCTTATGTTTGATCAGGTGCAACAATGTTCAGATATTTAAGTGAAGAGAAGATAAATACAAAGCGACTGTTTGTTTGGGGTGTGGAGGGGAGGCTGGGTAATACTTCCTATGGGAGGCAGCAGCTGAGCTCAGGATGCTAAGAGGTGGAAGTGAGGAGGGAAGGAGCTCCTAGTATAGGGGACAAACTGTGAAAAGGTGCAAGGATGGGTGATGGAATGCTGCGTGTGCATCAGGTACAGCAAGGGGGTCAGTTGAGCTGGAATTTGAGAATGTATGGAGGGGTAGCACCCTCTAGGATGCCTAGAAAAATAGGGCTTTAAATACCAAAGTGAGGAGTTGTACTGGACCGTAAAAATACCAAGAGCAGGGAATGATCTGGCCAGATTTACTCCTTGGGCCTCTCACCTCAGCAGCTGTGTGTATGGTGAACTGGACAGGGGAGAGATGTGAGGTGGGAAGAGGCCCCCAAAGAGCAACGTGCCAAAGCTGGCCATCTCTTTGAAGCCACAGCTGGGAGGCTTTTCTTTCTATCACGTCCATATCAGGACCAATCCTCTCCATGGTGTAATTTTTAAGCACGATTTCAAATGACTAGAAGGACCAACTCTAACACAGTCACTGAGATGACCTTCCCAGGGACAGGGTCCAAGAATCAGACGTAACTGAGAGACAAGCATGCTCACTGCGTCAACAGCCACCTTCTTAAGCAAGGCCTGAAGAAGCCCAGCTCCCAAGTCTGACAAGGCAGTTAACATACAACAAACACACAGAAAACCAGAGCCCAGACAAAGTACCCCCACCCAATAAAGAAGACCTGAATGAGGGGACTTGAGTTCACTCAGGTTTAATCCCTGTGTGCTCCCTAGCAGAATTCATACTAAGATTCCTCTGGAGACTACTCACATACCACCAAGAGAACATTTTTCCTCTCAGAGCCATCACACACATGGTCAGTTGCTTTGCTTACCTAGTTTTTACTGCTCCAAAGAAGGACTCTAAACTCCCCATTCTAGCAATACGTTTTTTTTTAAGGTGGCATTATTATTCTCATTTTATAGAATAAAGTTCAGAAAGACTTTAAAAAACAAATACACAAGAAGTTACTGATCCAGGATCACAGTGTCTGAGGAATTATTTGTAAAGATTTAGCTTTATTTTTTTTCCAATTAAGCATTTATTCTCTCCCCTATTCCCCATTAAAAGACAAACAATTCTTGTAACAAATATATGTGGTCAAGCAAAATCAAATTCCCACATTGGCCATATCCAAAAATGTGTCTTATTCTGTATCAGGAGCCATTACCTCATCGTCAGAGAGGGGGCTGGCACCACGTTCTATCTTCACACCTTGGCCATTGCAATTTGTTGTTGCACTGAACAGAGTTCAGAAGACTTTCAATGTTGTTTTTCTCTTTAACGTTGTTACTTTTGTATAAATTGTTTGCTGGTTTTGCTCACTTCACTTTGCATCAGTTCATATATGTCTTCCCAGTCTTCATAATCTGGCCCCTTGTTACCTACCTATGTTGCCGGTCTCCCGGCATTTTCTCCCTCTTCATGTCTGCCTCCTGGGCACCTTGGCTTCTCTTCCAGTCTCGGCTAGAATCCCACCTTCTAGAAGAGGACCTCCCAGATCCCCCTTACCACTAGTACTTCTCTGATTTCGTTTCTAGAACTTATTTGTAGAGTTAGTTGTTTGAGTGCTGTGTCTCCTCTGTTAGACTGTGTGTGTACTCCTAGTGGGCTGGAGCTGTTCTTCACCTTTTATTATATTCCCAATTCTTACCCTGGTGCTTAAAACAGAAGGCACTTACTAAAGACTTCTTGACTTGACTTCTCTGAGCCTTTCATGCCATTATTTCCTTCAAAATCAGGCAATAACATTCTACTACTTTCATGTGTTATGATTTGCTTAGCTATTCCCCAACAGATGGGTAACTCCTTAGTTTCAAGGTTTTTGCTACCAGAACTGTTTTTGTACATATGGGCTGTTTTCTGAGCTAAAATTCTAAAACAGCTCTCCCTGAATCCTCTAATTAATCAAATAAAGCTCCCTCTCTTTTCCTGACACCTAATCAACTATCAATTAGTTGTCTTGCCTATAATTTTGTTTGTACCTCCCTTACTACATTTATTTTTTGCCCTGAATTATTATTATTTATGTATTTGTCTTACCCCAATCACTAGCCTGTAAGCACTTGAGGGAAAGGATTCTCTCATTAATTTCTGTATCTCGCACATTGTTTCCTATGTTGCCTTGCACATAGTAGGTACTTAATTACATATTTGTTCAATTGATTGATGTTTCATATTCAATCAAAGAATGTAGCTCTTAGCAATAATTACATAAGGACATTTTAAACTAGAAACTTGTTATTCAGCTTGATCAGTCACTAGACTGGCTCCATTAATTACTGACCAGACCTGCCCCACATGGCTACTAGCTAAATCAAATCCACTTCAAACGACTGCCTTCATCACCTCTCAATTAGCAAAATAGATGGTCCCCATTTTTTTTAGTCCCCATTCTTCTTGTCCTCTTTGCAGCTGGTGACACTCTTGGCACTTACCGCTCCCTGGATATTCTCTCCTTTCTGGGTTTTCCTGAAACAACTCTTCATTTTTCTGGACCTGTCTGGCTACTCCTCATTTTTCTTTGCTGGATCATTACTCATACCCTGTTTGCAACTGCCAGTGAACCCCAAGGCTCTGAGATCCAAGGTACCTGCCTTCTTCCTCTTTCAGAGATTGCATCATTTCCTATGGATTCAATCACAACAATTCAGATGACTCCCAGATCTCTATATCCCTCCCCAGGCTCTCTCCTGAGCTGTAGTCCCATATTACCAAGTGCCTGTTGGGCATTCCCATGAGAAGTCCCTTATTCATCTCAAACCCAACATATTCCAAATGTAACTCACTATATTCTTCCTGTTTACCACAAGTGGTTCTTAATTTTTTTCTACTGGATTTGTAACTTTTTAAAATCAAGAGTTAGTATCTAAAGAGAGCTTAGAGTCTATATTAAATACAAGAGACAAATGTTTGGGGGTCTGACCTGACCTGTCATATCTAGATTTTCCCCAAGATCTATCCCCCATTTTCATAAGATGGAGAATATTTTCAAAAAAATATGAGTTATATCTACTTGAAATATTCAACCAATAACTTTTCCTCTTTAATTTGAAAAAAATGTTCCTTATAAGACAAACAGAATTGTTACAACCGAAAAAAAAAATTGGTTTTTGACTGATGTATGTCTGTGTATGAAATGACAGAAAACTACTTCTCTTAAGTGACACCCTGTCATGTTAGTTATTAGTCAGGATACTGCATGGGAAACATGACTCCAGGACCTCCTCACAAAAAGCAGGCAGCCGTGGCTGCCTCCAGGCTGGGCCAGACTCTCGAGGCTCAAGGACAGGCTGACGGGGCACCTCAGCCTCCTCAGCACAGAACTGGCCACAACAGGCAGCGGGCGTGCACCTCACATCAAGGACCCCAGCATCTGGGAGGCTTTAAGAAGAGTCATTACAGAACCGCAGCCAAGTTGTAACATACAAAATGAAGAAATCGGACTTACGTATTCCTTGACGTTTTTTGTTTTCACAGCTTTGTATGAATAATAAGCAGGATACAATATTCCAAAAATCAACCTGGTAAAAAGCAAAAGGTATGAAAAACTAGTTACATTGTTTCAATGACAGAACACTTTAATATATTAATAAATTTAATATAAAAGACATGAAAAGATTTCATTTTGATATGAAAAATATGCAATAGATTGCATCTGTCGTTGCAGATCTGCTTGTATCTTCTAAAAGTCGAGGCAAATTTGTTACTTATGACCTTGTTAAGTATCAGTCTCACTGGACTCCCTTGTGTCTTGTCAAAAACTAGACCTGTCAGAATTAACATCTCAACACTTCAGGGACTGGTTTTAACTGTATTCTTGACCGAGAGCTAATTAGACAATGTGGGTTATAGTGTAGGGGTCGGACTCCAGAACAAAAGCATGCTTTTGTTTTGCTTTATTTTGGAGGTAATGGGGGTTAAGTGACTTGCTCAGGGTCACACAGCTAGCTAGCGTCTGAGGCTGGATTTGAACTCAGGTCCTCCTAACTCCAGGGCCAGTGCTCTATCCACTGTGCCACCTCGCTGCTCCCCAACAAAAGTATGTTTTAAAATCTGTAGTGGAAACCCACAGTTCCCCTCTGTACCAAGGCCAGCCCTTCCTGACCCCTCTACGTGGTGTTCTGTCCACTCTCTGGTCACCCTTTCTAAGTTCCTCCAAAATCTCCCTTTGTCAGAATAGCTTGGCTTTTTTTTTTTTAAATCATGATATATAAAACTTTGAATCCACTGATTATCAAAACATTATCTTCTTATATACAGCCTTTAACCAGGTTCTAATGGGCTGCTACATGGCACAATGGATAGAGCACTGCGCCTAGCATCAGGAAGAACTGAGTTTAAATCTGGTCCCAGACACTTACTAGCTGTGTAACCCTGGGCAAGTCACTTAATTACTGTTTGCTTCAGTGTCTTCAATTAGAAAATGAGGCTAGGCTCAGATTCTTAAAATCTAGCCCACAGCTCACTAAAGTTCAGACTCCTGAAGAATCTGCCCAATATGGCAGATGTTCCAATAAATCTTGTCTTTGGCTGAAAGAAGGCTTGAGTTGAATTCTTTCAGGCAGGATCCGTGTGTTGTGATTTTGGAGTCCCAGTCCCCCTAAATCTCAACATTTTGGTGGCCCGTATGGGGAAAATCCTAACCCTAAGTTCTTCTCCAGCCAAGACCGAAAGGTATGTAAGCCTTGCCCCTCTTCTTTCTTGCCCTGCAGTTGGGGTCACTCTCCTAGCACCTAGGAAGGCGTGGAGATGCTTTCCAGGCAGACAGTTACAAGGCTGTCTTGCAGTTGGCCTGATGCTTTCAGGCTCTCAGTACACTGGCTCAGTTCAAGGCCACGGACCTGCGTAACATCTATGCCTCCTGCAGCATATAGAACAAGGACAGATATCCTATTTGGAAATGTATGCCCAATTCTGTCAATTCTCTCCACACGCTAGAGAATTGGGAAAACTGAAGGTGCTTTTTGGTTCCCTGAGGCTTACTTACTCCCTTCCCTCTACACCCCTGAATCCTCCTTCATTGAGGTTACAGGGAAAAGTCAGAACAGCTAAAAAACATCTTAGCAGATTCTGGAAGTTTTGTGATTATCATCAAGGAGTTTTGAAACACCTCCTTACAACCCTGGTCACTTCCTTCTCCCACTCCCTTCCCTTGAGTCAAGAAGGTATCTGTTAATCCCTCTCACAGGAGAAGACAGTTTCACCCCCCCTATTCACCCTCTACCGCAAGGGCCCCACTGGCAATGGCCTTGGGCCCTGGGGCAACCTTTGCCTGGAAGCATTACTCAGGTTCAGCACATCTTGCTCAAGGTAAAGAAGCTAGCCTTTGAACTTGGGTAAGCATGCTCTTTTAAAGTTGTGGTTTCAACTTAATGAGATGTTGATTCTCTATGTAAGTTACTTGGAAATGCATTTAGCAAAACTGAAGTCACCTGATTGGTAATCGGTTTGTTTCAAGTTTCAAACTGGTGAACTCCCGGTATCGTCAAGCAACTTTTCATAACTTGGTTATTGCTAAAATAATTTGGCTATTGTTGGTTATTGTTTTAATGTGTAAACTTGCCAAAAAGCTTGTTGGGTTTTGACTTGCTGAGAATTTGCAAATATATAGAAATAATCTCTTAATGACTGGCTTTTTACACCAGGACAAATGATCATAACAATCCATTGATAATCAATAATTTACCATCTGAGAGAAATGCCACAAGCTAGTCAGAGAGAATGTGATACTGGTAGGAAGTCAGTATCAGAAAAAGCTGAGAGGACAATTTTAGCCTCAGTCTAAGAAGGGATCCTCCTGGCTCAGTTTCCCTGTTATGTTCCTTTGAAAAGGAATGTTACCCACCTAGCTATTCCCAAGTCTGGCTATGAGGTAGATTTGATACTGCATGGTTGGAAAACTGATATTTTATCCTGTCATATCTGGGCCATGCAGTCTTTTCTGTCAGATCTGTGTCTTCTTGACTACAGGCCATTCACCAACAGTTGATAGCAAACAGGGGGTATAGCCAATGTCTCCCCATCATTCCCTGGATGCAGCCTGTGCTGGGTTCCAGTCAACCTTCTCTTTGGGACCCCCCTCGAGGCAGGGACAGCTCTACGTCCCTTGCCAGCAGGAAGCAGTTTCAGAAGCCAAGGCCTTCACCGCTTACCCCAAAAGAATTTGAGTCCCATTTGTTTGAAGAGGGAATTATGGGGTTGGGATCTGGACCCCAGAAAAGAAAAACCCTGGACTTTCCCACATGGCCAAATCTCTGGAATTCCCCTGAGGCTATAATCCTAACAGCTGGCCTATCATTATCACCTATGCCCAATCTCCCAATTCTGTTACCTAGCCCTCCTTTGTCTATTACTTCCGGATGGCCCCTGGCTACTTCCCACCTTAATCCCAGTTAGGCTCCATTCTCCCTTGGCCAAGTGGTCCAGGTCCCCGGCATTCTATTACTTCACAGTCCCTGAAGACTACTTGACCACTCCTAGACCTCTCCCACAGTCTTCCTCTATATAAGGTTCATCTTGTCTCCATTAAGGTGCTCAGATTCTTAAAATCTAGCCACTGCTCAGTTCTTAAAATCTAGCCAATAGCTCACTAATGTTCAGACTCCTTAAGAGTCTGCCCGATATGATGGATGTTCCAATATACCTTGTCTTTGGCTGAAAGAAAAAAAAAAGAAAGAAAATAAGGCTAATAATAGCAACTCCCTCCCAGGATTATTTAAGGATCAAATGAGATAATAATTGTAAAGTGCTCAGCACAATGCCTGACACATAGTAGGCATTATATAAATGTTAGTTATAATTATTAACATAAAACGATATATAGATCACTACAAGGATTTGTTAATGGAGGCCAGTAGTATATAGATGACACAAAACACATTTTCATTTGGATTAAAATTTATTATTTTTTTTTTTAGCAGAATTGCCGTCCTCAATACATTTTGCTTAAAATATCAAAATCACCTTGTATCCCTTGAGCACCTACTAAAGGAGGACTGGTCTAAAAGAACAGATAAAATAATAGGAGTGATCCAGAAACATCCTAGGAGACACAGTGAAGATAGTCTCAGATGACAAATTTGTTGAAGGTTACACACAAAATAAAAACCCAAATGGCTGAGCTGGCAGCATGACCAAATGTGCTGGGGAACAAAGTTCTACTTAAGTATATGTCATGACCAAAGATTGAAGGTCCGGTAACGTCCGTACCAGGGAAGAACAAGTTGTGGCCTGTGGTTTTTCAGCTGACCCTGTTTGTACTTCTTTTTCTCAAGACTGTTCAAACACAGGAAGGTCTGGCATTAGTCATCCTATTTCCATTTCTTGGGGCTCACGTGAATCCTTTAGAATGTACAGGAAGCTGTTCGTGAGAGTTTGGACTTGAAGGAGACGGCCCATCTCCTTTACATCTCCAACTAGCACGTTGTCACCGAACTCAAACTGGCGGCATTCAGAGTGAAGCGCAGCCCTCTTCTGCAGAAGCCAGTTCTCCCCCCAGATTTCTCCAGCTGGCCACGGTGGTTTTGGACTCATTTTTCCCTTCCTCGCCCCATCCAAGTCAACCAGCAAGTAAAAACATCTACTCTGTAGCAGGCATTGTGCTGGATGCTGGGGGTAAAGAGAGAAAAACAAAACAGTCCCTGCCCTCAAGGAGAACACATTCTGTTGGCAGTAAACAATGTGTATACAGATAGTACAAAACAGATAAAAATAACTGGAATAGAGAGAAAGAGAACCAACCGAAAGAGGAGAAAAGCAAGCCCAGCCTTCTCCTTCTGTGGGAGATGCATGGGAGCTGAACTTGGAAGGGAACGAGGGGTTCCAAGAGACAGAACATTCCCGAGAGCACAGCCTATATATACTAAGGCCCAGAGATCAAAGAAGAGGAGAGATGTGCTCCTTTATCCTAGCTGGGATCGAGGATATCTTCTCCCAAAGAGCAGTGCTGAGGGCAGCTAGGTGGAGCAGTGGATAGAGCACTGGTCCTGGAGTCAGGAGGACCTGAGTTCAAGTCTAGCCTCAGACACGTAATACTCACTAGCTGTGGGACTCTGGGCGAGTCACTTAACCCCAATTGCCTCACTAAAAAAAAACAAAAACAAAACAACCAAAAAAGCCAAAGAGCAGTGTTGTAGAAGGTGGTTAAAGGATGCTGAGCTGCCAGTACTACAGAGGCTCAGCTCCATAATGAGTTAAATGGGTTTTTGTGGCCTGGAATGAGAACCAAAACACTTCACAACATTCTCTGTATGGAAAAATGTACAGGACAATTGGCTTAGAAACTCACTTTTGAGAATATCTGTTTTGTGCTAGATAATGGAGCTCAATAATCTACACAGCGACCTTTGCAGTCCTATTGATTCTGCTGAAGTTCCCCCATACCAATGCAGGTCTGGTGCAGCTGCTTCTCATCATTCCGGCTGTCAGCACCCCAACTCAGGACTCTTACTAGAGTCTCCAACGCACCTCCTTCCTTCCGGCCTACACGCCGCTTCTAAATCAATCTTCTAAGACGCCTCTT